CAAATCGTGTATCCGAGGTGAAGGCAAGTTACAAGCGGTCATCCTTGTGAGATGATCTCTATAATTAACTATGAACCGCTTGAAGAAAACGAAAGGGAATGATAACGATTCCACAGGGAGTAGGTCTTGTTGCCGGCGCCTTGTTTTGAATTATCTATGCCCCGCGTTTTATTGATGCGTCTGCGTGTGTAGTCAGAATTCCGGGTATGTTACTTGATACTGCCGCGCCCATGCGATAAATGCGAGCAAGAGTCTGCTTCATGTACCTGGCAGAGTAATTGCGACATGCTTATTATTATTAGCTGAAACTACGTGAATATCCAATGAGATACTCAAGGCATCCCCGATGGTGTTCTTTTTTATTATGATTAAAGACATTCGCAGTTGTATTTAGTAGAAGTAAGGAGAAGAATCTCCGTTAGAGATTGAAACTTAAGTCCTGTTTTATGCACAAAATTTCTAGAATAGCTTATCATCGAGTTTAAATAAAACATATTTATTCTGATAAGAATACTTATTTCAAAACGATTTATTAAGCTTTAGATCGCTATAAAGAAAGAGTTATTCATTAAGCAATAAATCTAAATCATCAGCATTTATGTTGCAAATCCAAAAATAATTCTCTTTTTTTTTTTTTTTTTTTTTAATTGAAGTGAGGGTTACTAACTTTTCGCATATGAAATTTTACTTTGAAGGCTAATTTAAGTACTATAATTTTTAGATTAGCCAGGCGTATGGATTTTACGAATTCAAAAAAAGTGTGACCAAAAGAAATATTTAGAAGAAATTGGAAAATAATAATAATAATGAAGTTGATTGATTAATAAACTGAATACTAATATATAATCCTTTTCTACTGCATCAACTGCTCATATAACAGTAAATTTTTAGAGAAACTCAAATAGTTAAACTTCGGAAATTATAATCATATTAAACATTATGGTAATTGCGGGCATTGGCTAAAATTTTAGAATTAAAGTGCTTTTCAGAGCAATAAGAATCTTATAAATTTGAATCCTTATAATCTTTCCTCATTTTGCAGGGCTTCTAAAAGTTGCTCTTTGAGAAAGATTTTTAATACTTCCAATTCAAGGTGCTGATGAAATTCCATATTATTTATAATAATATGAAAATATTACTATGAGTATTTGTTCTACATTTCTTCATATACTTCGGTCCTTGTAGGTCTTTATTTCGATCATTATTTTTCTGATCTTTTTATGAAGTAAATTATAAACGAAATTTATAACAAGCTAAATTTATGGCATCTCGACTGAACATGTAATCTTCTTTTATGGTTTCATCCATGTTTAATATTAATTTAGACTGCATGCTGTATTTGTTTTATATAGCCAAAAAAATGATTCAGCTTTTGTTTTTCTTCAGAATACGGCCGTAGCTGGATAGGGACGACATTTTTCGAGGGAAACATATTTATTATAAGGGTTAGTCATGAAGATTTACATAGCAAAGACTAATTGAAATTTATTATCTAAAATTATTAGACTAATTGAAATTATATCAAAGTTTTCTTTAGCTTCCCAAACAGTCGTATAGGGCCGTAACTGGAGGTTTGGAGGCACTAAAGCAACAGATGACAATGGGGATTCTTTCTTGTTTATGCCAACATAACCATTTTTTTCTTTCTATATAGGATTGATCATTTCTTAACGATTAAAGTAGCTTCATAAATTTAAATAAAAAAATTTCTGATATCTCGTTTAAATGTTCTGTTTTAATATTATTTTTGATTCATCTCTCATTCTATTAACTGAAAAAGAATATGATATCGGACGGCATTCGACGTCATATGGGAGCGTACCACCAGCCGAGCAATAAAGTTGCTGAATGCTGATAGTTCGACGTGGTTTTGGTTCCAGGTGAACGGCTTGGCTGCGTGCGCGTTTTCGTAGTTTTCCCCATGTGTAACGCGGATATGAGCCAGTTTCCTTTGAAAAATCCTCAACGAAAGCATCCCTTCCTTAAGCAGATAACACTGGAGTGCTTTGCCATAATCATATAAACCCCTATCCTTGTTAGCAGTATGGTTACAAGTCAGTTTTTCTCAAAGATCTTCACACAGCATCTCCCTCTAGGCTAATAGTTCTTGCGTACTTTGACATAATCAAATAAGCCAAACGAGTTGACGGTATAAAGCATAAAATTAAGCTTAGGCAATATAATTACAATGACATGTTTACTAGCAAATTATTCAGGATATTTTTGTACTTGGATTACAAAAATTTTCTGCTTCCTAACTTATAAGCAAGCAAACTCATTGATTATTTTGTCAAGTTTAATTTTTTGGGCTGCATTATTCTTAATTGAGAGCAAAGCCAAACTAATAAGACCCATACTGTATTGCGAATAGTTTTTAATAATTTCAAGTTTTGAGAATGATCTTTCAGGCCTAGGCTACAGTCACAGGGCAGTTAAGTACATGATGCATGCTGCCCATAATTCTATAAAAGTGAACTGTGTTTTATTATAAACAGTACTGATAATCTTTTGATGGTACTAATTTTTTCAAGCTCCTCCTGAAAGGATGCTTTAACTAAACTGGGATAGAAATGTTAATGATATATCCCTGGGACTTTTTCGCACAAAATCAACTGCTTTGTCGTGTATCTCTTTTTTGGTGTTTGTTCCTGCGGGCAGAAGTTTGTCATTGATTTTTTAACATACTTCCTGATAAGTTATTGAGTTCAAATTTTGTAGTAAATGACAATGCAGTGTAGTGAGGCGATTTAGTCACCAGTGCATGCTCAAATAAACTTTATTTCTAATAAGAGAGTAATTTCTCGGTTTTAAGTAAAAATATTAATTAGAGAAGTAAGTAAAGTAGATAGTAAAAATATCATTAGAGAAGTTTAATTTTTCAATTTTAAAAAATAAAATCCCCAATGTAAGAGGAAAATATATATATTTTTTCTCCTCCTCGGTAGTACCCCCCCCCTACCCCCCCCCCGCCAAAGTATAACAGCATGTTGACCTAATTAACCATTAATTGCAGGAGTTCGATACAAAACTGAAGTCTGCATTTACCTCCGGCTTTTCACTCTACATTACGTGAAGATTATATGGGTGGAAGTGCAAGCAATGAGATACATTCCGATGACCTCATTGATCACGTGATTAATGTATACTTTTTGTAAACAAACATTGCAAATGACCTCAGAGATCACGTGACTTATGTACAGTTAATGCAAACAAGCAAGATCATTCTTCTTCTTCTTCTCTTGCGGAATGTATCTCATTTCGTAGACCTTGCTAACAATGCTTTTCGGGCTTTGTATCTCTCGGCTAGCTCTGCAAATTGACTTTCTCGTACCTTGCAAAAAAGGTCTGACGCGATTAACAGCTGTATTTGAAACTGGTGGGTCGACCTGAATGTTCCATTCTATAGTCACTCATGCTTCCCTCCTCAACAAAACTGTAATATGATCTCAAAATTAGCATTTATAGGTGAGTTCACATTAAATTCAGACTTCAAAGCGTGTTGCATGAACCTTGCATTTGGGGGGAGGAGCGAGAATGAAATTTTAACGTACATTTACTAGCGGCTGAACGCCATCTTGAATTTGGTTCCAGCCATTTCTGATTTTATCGATTTAAATTAACTGAAATATGTTTCATGGCTTTTACGATACGTGCTCATTTTGTATCCATTTGCCTTATATGCAATAAAATCGGTTTTTCTGTGTTTTTACTTTGATTTTAATCTCTGTTTTCATTTGATCAAGTTAGTTAGCATGGAGCAAAAATGGCTGCTTAAAAAGAAACTTTTTAATGATAATAGGGCATATTAGTTTAGTATCAGAGATTTTAGATCACAAGTTGCGTTCTGCATAAGTCTTAAGTGCTTAGCTGTTTAAGAAATGTGTACATTACATTTTTTAAAGCGCTTTGAGTGAGATTATCATGTTTATATCAAATGTTAGATCTTTTCCCCCTCCTTGCTTTCTGTGTTGCATAATCAGTTCCTGTAAATGATTTACTAATTAGAAGAGCAAACTTAAACCCATGTATAACTTGGCTTTCTTCAAGGCGCCAGTTGATTTCCTCTCCAGATTTTCTCCCTTTTGCATGCTTATGTTTTATGGCGGCAAAGCGTACGACGTCTAAGCCCTGATCGCCATGGGTGGATTAGTGCCAAGGATATTTCTGTTACATGTCTTCAGCCTTCCGGCTCCTGTTTTTATGGTTTATGTAGGTTCCCTCTCGTTGAGGTCAATGCCATAAATGTTGTCTGCACTGAAGTTTTTTTAATTGTTATTTTATTTATTTATTGGATGTGTGTGTGTGTGTGTGTGTGTGTTTGAAAGAGCACTTGATGATGCTGTAACTTCTGTTCTACCCCAAATATTATCATTCTTTATTTCTTTGCTGTTGCCTTTGTGTTGATTTATTTGCATCAGTTTAAAACGAGAGAGAGGGAAAGAAATAGTTACATAGCTGTAAATAATTTTACCCTCTCCCCAAAAGGAATAATTGAAAAATTAAAGTTTTTTATAAATTGATTTTGGTTAACAGTGACCAAGTGGATAGAAGCACTAAATGTAGGATATCTGACCTGGTCTCAAATCCCAAGGAACAGGCTACATTGGATAAACAGATATAAAATGAAAACAACTCGGTTTTCGCGATGAAAGAATCTCATTCTTAAGGCAGATAGTCGATTTACTTTCTATAATAATGCAAGACTTTAATAAATGTTACCTTTTTATGATTTTACTATTAAATTTTATCGTATATCGTAAAAAATAATGCAAATTTTTAAGCCTTATAAGTAGCTTTTAGTAGATTTTGTTTTTAAAACTCTCATGTCAAAACGCACATATGTTCTAGTCTCTAAATTACTTTTTCAAATTCATTCAAATTCAGTATTTGTTTAAATATTAAGGAAAAGATGTATAAAAAGTTTTACATAAAAATAGTTACCAATTAGAATGTCTGCGAAAACTGGATTTGTAATTCTTCTCTTTTTTTTCTTTTTTTAGGGGTATCTGAAACACATTGGTAATGATCAGGGTACAAAAGTCAGTCATCAGTATTTAAAAGAATTGTTCAGCAATGTTGAAGACATATATGTATTTAACAGGTAAGTCTTGGTTGCTGTTGCAGTTTATTTATAGGAAAATTTAATTGTTAATTAATGTCTTATTTATGTTTGTTTCATCTATTAGAAATATTATATTCATTAAAATGTACAAACTATTTTTATATTATTAATAATAAATGATTGTTATTTTTTCCCCCTAGCTCATTTGTGAATGAATTGGAATCTTGCGGGCTGGATCCCGTTGCTGTAGCTCGATGTTTTGTTAAAAATAGTAATGGCTTTGAAGTTTATACTCAGTATTGCACAAATTATCCTAGGTATTGATTTTCATAATAATAATTATTGTGTTTTAGTAATAAATTTTTAAAGCAGTGACAGCAAATAGTATTTGCTTTTATAATTTGATTAGTTTATTAATAATTATATCTTTCATTTAAATGTTAAGAAATATTCTTTTCATAAAATATTGTAGTTTTTACTTGTAGTGATAATTTTTTGCTATTTCTTTTTGTGTAATATTCTTATTTTTTAATGGTGTATAAATCAGTTTTTAGTAAAATTAATAAAAACTTATTTATATGATAAAAATATTTTTGTATTTTTTCTTATAAAAAGGCTTAGGTGTAATGTATGCAAGTATTTATGCCTATAGTGAACATACTAAATTATGTAATATTGTGAAATTCAGGATTCTTATGCTTGTTATAAAAAATGTGTTAATTTGCTGTAAAGCTTAACATAATTCTGCTCAAAAAATTAATTTCATGTGATGGAACACAATCATTCATCTTAAAGAGATGTGTGAAATTTAGAATATAAAATTTTATCTTTCTTAACTAGTATTTGTATTTGCATATCATTGTGAAACATATTGCAACTTTTTCTCTTATAGGACTGTGTCTGTATTGACAGAACTAATGGGTAATAGTGAAACTGCTGAGATATTTAAGGTCAGCAATTTTTTTAATATTTAAAACATTTATACTCAGTCATGTTTTATTATATAATTCATGTGTATATGACATTTTATTGAAACATTCATGTGAAAATTTTAAATGATACACATTTAGTTTTTTCGTAGTGTTATTTTAAGAAATTATTTCCCCAGCTGATTGAACTGCATTGCCAAATGTCTGTTATGCTGGTAGGGTTAAAATTTTATGGAGTAATTATTGACATTTTTATCAGAAGTTAAATGTCAAAATTACCACCAATTCAGAATAAAAACAAATTTAGCAGCTGATTTCTACTAAAACACAAAATTTAAAGAATTTCTTCTCTCATTCCATGCCAAACTCGAGGAAAAGTTTGTCTTCCCCCATACCCATATTTGCTAAAATGAGAAATAGAAACTCTTATTGTAAGCAAATAAAATGAAATGGTATTTAAAATAATTTAATATAATTCAGATGCCCTGAAGTATAAAAAACTGAAGCTTTTAGATATAGAGGGTGTTTCAGAGTTCAAAGCATAAATTCAGAGAAATGCTAGTAGGCATGAAGCGGATGAAACATTGCTGTAGAACATGGGTTTGCAAACCACATTTAGTGGGAGAAAATTACGAAAATAGTTAATAATGTGACATCAAATGGAACAAAAGGGCCAGTAATAAGTAGAAAAGCATTTGTTTGATGTAAAGCAAGATTACAGTGTATTCACAGTTCAACGTCAGAAAGGAGATGATGAGACAGTTTTTTAGGAATTTTTCGAAGTTAGACCACGAAGGTCATTGCGCAGCTGACATTGATTATCAGAGAATTGCTGCACGCCTTCAAATATACCTGGTGTGCTGGCGGTGTATATTGAAATGACTACGATCTATGCTGTTGAATCCTCCAGCATATCCAGAGGCATCTGATATGCATTTCAGGTGGCCCCAGAAGAAGAAATCCAAGGGACTGAAGTTTGAGTAGTGTGAAGACTAGGCAACAGGTCTAACACATCCAATTCACCTCCTGGGATATGTAACATTGAAGTGATTTTGCCCCACAGTCATGGATTTTGAGACAGTGATCAGTGCATTTGTGGGGCTGTTGGGGGACTCTGATCATTACCTCTTTGATTGCTTGGAAACAGCTAGATTTCACCTTTGGAAACCAGCTAATGAATGCTGCTAAGCTAGGACTAAAAACACTTTTAATGCCATTAAGCGTATTAAGGAATGCACTAGCATTTCACTTTTGATTTCCAGCAATTCGGAGGCATGATATAATTCTGGCTGTAGTTGCTTTGGTTGCGTGTCATGATGCCTTTCAAAATTTTAGCACTTACATAAAACTTTATTTACATATTTTCTCATCTTGTACATGTTTTCCTATGTCTTCAGGTTAGTTCACCAGCTAGCAACTAGTAGTATTAATGTTGTTTTCATATATGTATTACACATTAACAGTATCAGGATTAGTGCATGTAGGTGTATCTGTGTCATCTGTGTGAACTTACATGCTAATTTGTGATAGCAATTTTCATCTTATTATTCTCACACTAAAACACATATACATATGTCTATGTTATTTCAGTGTCAAAATATTTATGGTACTGTTAACAATTTATACATTCTCAATTTGTACATACTTATTGCAATCGCATTGATTTTTAGGAGCTTCATTTATATATCACAGTATCTTTTAACTATACTAGGAGTTTCTGCTTCAGTATAATAGCTTGACAAGTTTACTTTTTTTTCTTTTTACTTCCTTGTACGAAATAAAAAGGAAGTATTGTAATCGCGAAAAGTTTCAGGCAGCATATTTCAATGAAAATATCCATTTTGACCGCTATCGAATGCAATTTAACGATGGTTTTGCATGATATCTGTACGTAAGGACAGAATAAAAGACTCGTTTCCTCCAAAAAAATTTTAAAACTGCTTTAAAATTAATTCTGAAGAGAATTTTTCGTGTCATCTGTACGAATGTATGTACGTACGTACGTACGTATCTCGCATAACTCAAAAACGAGTAGCGTTGAAATTTTGTATATGGGACTAGGCAGAACGTTGAAATTTTGTATATAGGACTGCTATAACATGTAGATGTGCATCTCATGTTTTGGTTGAAATCGGCTGCACCAAACGTATATAAATATATTTATATATATATCCACTCTGTTACCCGGCTCAATGGTCTCAGTTCGTTTACTCTTATATGTTTGTAAATTGTACATTTTCTTGCTTTAAAAATGATTGAATTATATTGTTCTTATCTTCCGGTTAAGGTTTTTATGCCTTTCGTTATTCTGGAAGCAATATTTGTACAATTATCAACAATTTGAAAGCTGTTAAGTTTTAAATAACATGGCGGACATATTTGTTTACATTTGAAACAGCAGAATTGTAGATTTGTTGCCAATCTAGAGAGACTAAGCTTCGCAACAACAAAAATAACGCCTTCATTTATTATTGCGAATTAAATCATGCTTGATCTTTTCTGGAATTTTTTCGAGGAAATAAGTGTTTAAGATTTACTTCGTAATTTTTAATACAGATATTTTGAGTTTTTATGTATTTTTGCATTGTCGCGAAGTGAGAACTGAATTAATTAAATGAGAAATACTAAGTCGTCTGTGAAAAACCATTTCTTTTCTGTTTTGTTTGATTAATTTCTTTCATACATCTTTCTAGCTTTATTATAATATTTGAATAGAACATGTGGCAACGATAAGATAATTCTTCAAATGATATAAATTTTGTGCATTCAGAGTGTTGTTATAGTAAACAAATATAGTGAATTTTAAAGTGCATTTATTCTATTGTGGTTTATGCGCTGTCGACGAAGTAGATTTAATTCAATCCAATCAATTTAAATGAAATTGAAGAAAAATGTGTATAATTTAATATTCCGTACAAGGAAGTCATGTGGTGTACACATCAGATTTTTTTAATTTCTCTTTTCGGCGATTGTCTAAATATATTTATTCATTTATAAATTCGTTGTTTCTAATAGAATCTGAACATCTGTGTATTTGTATTAGGAATGTCTGCAAAGCTTACACAACATTTGAACTATATTAATTTAAACTAGTTAATGTATTTCAATAGTGACTGTACAGTAATTAATTTAATATAATGTACATTTGCTTTAGTGATGCCTCATTAATATATTTTGGGCTAGTTTATGTACTTTCAAAGTGTATATAAGTATATGCATGTATTTGCTTACAAATTTACAGTCTCTGTAAATTTTAAAACAGATGTGCAGGAACTGAGTACCTGCATTGTTTGTTTTAGGAATGTTTGCACCAGCATATTTTTTGAACCAGATAATGTATTTAATAGTGACTGTATATTAACATGTAATTATTATTAATATATTATTCGTTATCTGTACATATGTATTAGTGATGCTCGCATTAAGTCACATTAAATAAATGTGTATATGCTTTGTACACATACATATTTATTTAATATACACATGTATTTATATACCAACTTATGGAGTTTGTCACAGAAATTTGGCAACATGAAGAATTCCTTATTTGAATGATTGATCAGTTTGCACACACTGATAATGCTTCATAGCTAGCACATTGTTCCCATTCCAGAACTTTAGTGGCTATACTGGCCATCAGCAGGAAAACAATATCCTGCTCTTATCAGTTCCTGATATAGTCCTGTGTAGGGCCTGACAGCGAAGAAACCTGAATAGAATTTTCTCTCGTGGAGGTGGAGAGAAAAAAGAAGCTCCTTGCTCCTGTGCTGGTACTTCTTAGATGGATTCCTTCGAGCAGAGGCTGGAAGAAGGAACTTCGGATAACTTGTGTAATATAGTCAATTACTTCAGATGAGCACTTAAAAAGTTCAGAAAATCCAAATTAAATTTGATGTTAAGAAGGACGTCAGAAACACCTAAGTAGGAAAAATTTAATTAAATAATTAAATTTAAATGTTTATGTCACTGCGCAACCTATTCCCTTTGTAGTTCACAGTTTATACAATCCCACCCCCTTTTTTGTCCAGTGTGCAGTCTCCATCTGAGAATAAAACAGTGGCAGGAAACTATCAATCATTCTGCATGGTTTGTATCATACAAACTCTACCCAAAGGAAGTAGGCATCATCTAAGAGTTGGTCCTTCTGCACATTGAATGGGTGCATGGTTTCTGCCCACAGAACATTCCACACCATTTTATGACGAATATCCAGTTCATCTGCAAATGATGATATACTGGTTGACAGGGAAATAGCAAACCTTTGCAATACTCAGTTTTCAGTTTCAGGTAGGTGCACACTGCATTCTTGCTTGCATTATGCTTTGCTACTTGGAAGGATCCTGTCTTCCACAGCCATTGATTGCTGTTTGTGAAGGTGGTGTGGTGCGGACAGTGTTTCCTTGGGTATTAGTCTTGGTACATTGTCTGTGGATTCATTGCCACCTGCTCGTCTATAAATCAGATGCATATCCACATATTCCTTGTTTGAGTAATCTGATATGTTGTTTCCGAGTGAAGTATAACACCCACAAATTTTGCGATGTCCACTAATGAATATTTGCCCGCTGTTTTTATTTTCCCCATACGCATTAGAAATTTGCATACAAAAAGGTTTCTTTTTGTCAATCATAGTGCTCCTAGTCCTCGCTTTTGGGGGGGGGGGTCCTAGCACCTTTTCGTTGCCCTCTCAACTTGTATTTTTGAGATTTTCATCCACTAGATGTGGTTTGCGACCCATGTTTTATGGTAATTTTTCATCCTCTTGATGCCTACTGTCATCCCTCTGAATTTGTCAGTCAAATTCGAAAACACCTTGTGTGAAAGTAGCAATCTAAAAAAATGACATGAAGATAGTGTTTAAGGGAATTTTAATTTAATTCAGTTGTCTAGAAGTTAAAAAGCAAAATTGAGAGAAAGCTTATTGTAGATAAAAATTGCCACTCATTTCAATTAAAATAAGAATTTTTTGCATTTTAACATTAATTTTTCTGTTCCTCAGCATTTAGAATGAAGTTCCCAATGCTCCCATGATCTTGGAGTGCAGTACATCATTGTGCAGCTGACCACATTTAGCAGTAAAGCCTAACATATAAAAATAATTCCTATAAAATCTACCCTGCCCCCCTAATATATTGTATATATTATTTAAATGTTTATGTCTTACAATATAAAAACTTCAAACTAAGCTAATGTACAGTATTTCCATGCAGTAATGAAGTAAAAAAAACCTGCAAAATTAAATATCAGTGTCTATTATATTGTATTACCATATTTACATACAGAATTTTAAGCTGCTTATATTGTGTGAAACATGTCTAAATTCTGAGCGTGTGTTGCAAGCATCATTCATGTATTCTTCTTTTGTAGAATTAAACAATAATAATATAACAACAAAGCTCATTGTATCAAATGTGATGTGGTGGCCACCATTGGCACTGCTTTGCCATATTACATATGATATGTATTATAATGATTTGCTGCATGGAAATAAATTTATTTAAAAAAAAATATCATCTTAAAAAAAAGTAATAGATTTAAATAATTAATTGAATAAAATTGGATCAGTGTTTTACAAATCATCTTGAAATGGCCCTGAGTATTATGCACATACTTTCAAAGTATTATTTTTAATTTACCTTGCTGCTTTCCTTTACTGCTTGGAATTTATTTTTCAAAATGTCATACCTATTTAGTGAAGCTGTTCATTATGATTCTCTTCCCTGTTTCTGTGTTGAGAATCACCACACCAGATTTTTCATGTAGGCTTGATTTCAGTAGCATCACACTCCATGCAATAATTGCAGAGATAATGTGTAATATTAGTAAAATGTATGTTCTTTGTAAGTTATTACATGATGAAATTTTTTTTAATGCATGCATGCTTTCTTAGAAATTTTCTAAATGAACTTCTCCAGCTTGGTTTCTTTCTAAAATTTCTCTTAGAATTGCAATATTTCGTAAAATTTACTACATCTTAAGTTGAACTAGAATTAGAAAAAGGTTGAATCACTATTTTTAATTTTAGATTTTGCATAGAGGTACTTCTCTTATTATTACTCATGTAATTTGTCCTACAACATTCATAATCTCACCATATTGAATTCATTTTAGGAACGGCAGATGGCTTTACAGCACAGTCTTCCCTTAGGATCTTATCTCCTTAAGCCAGTTCAAAGGATTTTGAAATATCATTTATTGCTACAGGTGAATATTAAAAAAAAATACAAATTGTAATAATGCTGCATTTATGTTATGTTATTACATTTCAATGAAGTGTTTTCTGAAGACCACATTTTCCTATTTTAAAAAAGCTGTGGATAAAGTGAATTGTAATTAGTAACTATAATTTTCATTTGAATAACTTCTCTTCTTTTTACTATTGCTTAAAAGCAGTGCATGCTGAATCATTGTATTTTAGATTATCAATAAGGATATTCTGAACTAAATTATTATATTCTTTTATAAAGTTGACATCTGATACAATTTTTTCAGTTGTTAAAACCTGTATATGTGATTTTGATGTTGTCAGTCTGGAAAACTGACATGAAAGAAATTAGCATCCATTATTAATTTGCATTTATATTATGCAGCAGTAAATTTGCAGAGTAAATTCCTTTATTTCTAATGCAGTTTCTGTATTTAAAAGGTGTATTCTTTGGAAGTACCACTTCTCTGCGATTATTCTCTTCATCTGTATTTGTCTGTGATGTGTATGCAAAAACTAGTTACATCTTCATAAAATTCTGCAGTATATAATCCAGTATAATTATAGTTACTGCTGCAAAGATTTCCGCTTTAATTCCAAATTGTGAGCCTGTGAAGAAAATAAGTCATCTCAATTATAAAAGTGCATGTATTGAAACTGCTGAATTACTTTGACTTAAACTCAGAGATTAACAATTTGGTCCCCCACCACCATACACACTTCCTTCATTCATATGAAATTGAAGCCATAGACTCATATCTGAAACTAAGATTGTTTTATTTATTGATAATGTGATGTTTTATGTGTTTTAAAACTTGATCAAATAGGCGTGAACCACGTCATAGTAATGAAGGCTGGTACACTATATGAATAAAGGCAACGTAATAGAGTGAAACAGGAATATATATATAGAGAGAGGGCTATAGAGTTTTAACAGCTAGTTTTCTTTATTTAAAATATTTTTATCAAATGAGTTTTATCTATAGACATGATTTCAGGCTCGTTCAAGCATTTTTAAGATGATAAAATACTAGCATTAAAACTACTGTGACAAGAACTTTTCTTTCTTGTAGAGTTTAGTAACGTTTCATCCAAAAAACAGTTTTTGTTTATATGGATTTCTTATGATAATAGCTTTTAAAAAGAAGTGAATAAATGTTTTTCCTAAAAGGTTCTTTAGAAAGAAACTTCTCATTCATAAACTCTTGACTCGATGTGTATTTCATAAGGCATGTGGAAATGGGTAATTTTTTACACATATGATAAGAACAGTAGAGACAAATATTTTCTCCCTTTTAAATTGAGTAATTTGCATTTATCTGAAGAGTGGAATAATTTTACATGAATTTAGCCTAATTTTAAGGTTGTATAATTATTATTTCATTTTTTTTATTTATTTATTTTTATTTTGCATCTCATTTACACTAGTAAATATATGTGAATGCATTTGCTGCTGTTAAGAAAATATATTAACTCTATAATGCCAAGTAGATGAGAGATCTAAATTCTTTTCTAATATCGTAGCTATTTGATGTTTTATTTCTGAATACAGTTTTGTTTACAGAATATGGTAAAACATTCTGACAAAGAAAGTGATGGTTACTGTGATGTAAAAAATGCTCTGTCAGTTATGACAGGGATTGCTTATCATATAAATGATATGAAGAGGAAACATGAGCACGCAGTTCGTGTTCAAGAAATCCAGAGTTTGCTGTATGGATGGGAAGTGAGTACAATTTTATTAAACTTCATGATAAAGAATGCTGTTTCTTGTTGCTGAATGTTAAAAAGAATTAATTTAGATGCATAATAATTCAATTTTTGTGTTTGAAATGTCTGACGTAATCATAACAATTCCACAAATGTTATCATAGCATGGAGTGCGGGATTGTATCTATCATTGGCATGAGGTTTTGTGCATCATATATAGCAGTATGACTTTGCCTAGCTCTAATTTGATGTAGGGTATCCCGGGAACAGATCCAAGGATCTCTCTTCCCTTAACATCAAGCTACTTGAAAGGACATCTGGCTCACCATGTATTTTGAGTTCCCCCATGCTTTTCAGAAACTATAATTTTACAGTCTCCAGGATTTGTACCAGAACTTAACAAAAGATACACTAACCATTATACTGATTAGGTTGTCGTTTTTAGTTTTAAACTTTTTTAATATATACATAATTGTTGGTTCAGTACTTTAAATAGGAAATATATAATTTTTAATTATATCAATGAAGGATGAAGTTCATGTTTAGTTATGCGGGTGTACATTAGAAATAACAAATGAATAAATTTCCATTTGCTAATAAAACATGCCTTTATTTCATTTCATCGTAATTCTCCACATAAGCATCTGTTGTGGTACAAAGAAATATATTGATGAGCTTCATGAGAGCTGTATACATAACTGAACATAAATATGTAGTAAGACTTAAGAGTTTTCAGCAGTGTAGTAGTTTTGGGGATATGCAATGTCAAGCTAAAAAAAGTAGTATTTTTGCCTTTAGTACCAAGCAAAAGAAAAGCCCACCCCTCTCCCAAGCATGGAGAAACATACGAAAAGCATTAACGCTAATTGTAAAAATATTTCTAAAAATGCTACTGCATGGAGAAGCATACGACAAGCATTATTGCTAACTGTAAAAATATTTTTTAAAATACTGCCATCTTGCTAGAAGTAAGTTACCTGGATTGGCTGCCATGTGAGACATAGAAAATGTATATGTTGAAACAATAAATTTTGCATTTTGTTAAAATTTATTGTGAATTAAATTTAGTGAAGTTTTTAGTTTAGGCATGTGCTGTTATGCGTGCTCTTTTGAAGTCAGATTATTGATATGTCTTTTATCAGCCCTCTTACAGGTGGCAGATATATATGCATTATGAAATTTTTCTCATTACTATGTGTTAATTTGCAGGGTCAAGATTTAACAACATATGGTGAACTTGTGGCTGAAGGGGCTTTCAGAATGTATCGAGCAAAGGCTTTGAGACATCTTTTTTTGTTTGATAAAATGTTATTAATTGCAAAGAAAAAGGAAGAAGGCATACTTAGCTATAAAACTCATATCATGGTATGTTTACTAAATTTTCTTATTTTAATAATAATTTTCTGTACTTATGAAATCATTTCAAACTGTCACTATTATTAAATGATCAAAATTATTAAATGATCAAAAATTATCTTATGTGCATTAAAATAGGCCATCATTTTTCTAGGTTTGTATTCCTATTATATTTTGTTTGAATATAATATCACACAAAAATATATATTTAAAAATAATGTGCTGTCAAATGATTTTTTTTAAAGCTCTGTGATGGATATTAGTTTCATTCTTAAAATTATTTCTGAATCTTACCTAAAATGGTGTGAACACTATATGCATTTAATTTCCTTTTTACTCTTGTATAAAGAAATTTCAGCATTAAAAATAAAAAAAAAAAAAAAAAAAGAAAAAAAAAAGAAAAGAAAGAAAGAAAGAATTTACATTTTATGTGATTTTATTTTAACATTAGATTCTTTTAAAATTTTGTTTTGTTTTTACTTAGTGTTCCAATTTGATGCTCATTGAAAGTATACAAGGTGAACCTCTCTGTTTTCATGTCATACCATTTGATAATCCAAGATATCAATATACATTCCAGGTAGTTTTTTTTTTTTTTTTTTTTTTTTTTTTTTGTAATAAAACTTAATATATATATATATATATTTGTTTATTTATGTTAAAATTTTCTTCATAATTTTTTTTGTCTTTTAACTGAAAAATTTTATTTCTCAGGCTCGAAATGTAGAACAGAAACGTGAATGGTGTCTTCAGTTAAAGCGGGTTATTCTGGAAAATTATAATGCTGTCATACCTTCACATGCTCGGCAGCTAGTGATGGAACTGGGACAGAGCAAACAAGAGGGTAATTTTAAATTCTTTACTTTTCTGCTCATAGTGATATTAAGTGAATAAGAATAAAAAAGAAATATTCTTGGTGTTACAAAACTCTGATTATTATTTTTCCTATATAGACTCTGCTCTAGAAAAAAGTACAACTAAACGGCAACTTTCAGCACCTGAATATTTAGAGAAAAGAAAACAAGAGAGGAGAAAATCTGAGTTAAATTTAAATCGCACATTGAAATTAAAAAAAGGTAATAATTCTTTTTGCCCATCAGTTTTTATATTAAGATTCTCTTTTGTATGATTAGTTACCAACGCAGAATTTTCCTCAGCTGAATCTGAATATTTTAAAAATATATATCCGTAAAAATGAATTTTTATCTGGAATTTTCCTTTTGTGGAAATCAAACTGAGTAGTAATTTTATATTAAGTTGTTGGGTTCTTTATCATGTATATGTGAAATTTTATTAAACTATATTTAGAATGTTTGGAACTTAAATTAAGATAAATCATTGTCTGATGGTAGTAAAAACGTATTTTACTTGTGGAAAATGTAATTAATGTTTATTATATCTGATTTATGATTTTTCTCTGATTTACAATTTTTCCAATTTTAATTTGCATGAATAGCTCCCCCCCCCATTTTTTAAAAATTATTTGTCATATGCATACAATCTGCCGTTTGTTACTGTAATTCTCTAGGTTAACTAAACTGATTACCTTCGTGATTGGCAGAGGTATTGTTTTCAATATTTGACTGAAAGTTGGTATGTTCAAATTATCCTCTGGAGGAGAAAAAATAATTGCCAAAATGTGTATTTAATGCCAGTTTAATTCTTCCTAGACATAACCCATTGAAATATCTTTGCTCCTCTTTATTTCATAGGTTTTTTTTAATTAAGCATTTTAGTATAGCTGAGGTTAATTCCGCCTTTTAAAGTTATAAGAAGTTATTTTGCTCTCAGTTTATTCATTTACCCAGTAATTGTTGTTGTGGGAGATTTTCGTCTGAATGTCATCATTAAATGAGATTTGTTTCATTGTTGTCTTCTGTTCTTTTCATGTATAATTAGACAATTCAATAAATATATCTTTCTTCTTTTTGTGCATAGAAACTGATTGTATGCATTCAGCAACTAGTTTTTAAAATTAGAAGTGTTTGACTCTGTCAAAGGAAGTAGCAAAGAGAAATAAATGTATAAGCAATTAAAAATGAAATCAAAACATAAAAGTATAAATATGTGTAAATTAATATAACCTAATCAGCAAAATGAGAAATTATATTAAACTAATGTTCTGTAAAAATAAAATGAAATAATAATTGCAAATGAGGAGTGACTAAATTAATGGTAACAAAGGATGATTAAAAGAAAAACTAGACAAAATTGCATCTTTATTGTGGCTTTTAATTCATTTAAAGCCTTCTTGATAAATTCTCTTTTTGAAAGGGTAGCATTTTAAAACAGATTTTTCCTCTGGTGCCCAAGTTTTGTTTCATATTTTCTTCTTTTTAAAGGAAATGAGGATACATTTAATAACATTGCCATTCTAGTGTCAGTTTTACTATCTGTTAAAAGAAATGTAACATTAAAAACAGAATATATTGTTTATATTACAATTCAGTTATACAGCAAAGTAACAAAACTAAGTATATACCAAAAGACTGTATATACCAAAGCTTATCTTACTTGGGGTTCTAATGCTCCACCTAAAATTAAAACTTTTCTCAAAAAGTGTGGTTCTGAATTTAAGCCTTGAATTCGTTGCTTATTCAGGTACCATTTCTGTCTGGTATGATTTTATAAAATAAAATACTGTTAACTTCTGGCCTGTGTTTCTCATATTCTAATACATCATTTAATCATCATTGTAAATACATTTATTACTCTTGTGGAATACAAAAATTGGATAAAATATTTCATGGACAGGCATCAGCCAAAAATAAGAAACAGTATATAAATGGGTATTTTATAATATTAAATCTAGTGTTATAAAAATATAATTTTTAGTTCATGTGACATTTCCTGTTGCTTATTTTTTAATAAATTTGTTATACGTGGCTGCAAGTTTGTTTCTGCAAGCACTGCATTAACATCCAGTCAATTTCATTGTATGGTTTCTATTGCTGACATTAGTTGAAAACTTTTTTTTTTTTCACATGAATAGGAAATATAAAAAATGGCCAACAATTTGATAGTTTTATAACAGAGAGATGGATATTCTTTACTGAGACATATCAAGAATTGAGGAAATGATTGCATTTTATGTGTAAAAGAATTAGTGAATCGAGAACATGTGTAAATATTAATAATTTCAAATTATGTTGTGCATTTAAGTATGTTCTCTTTTGATGTATACATATTGTTTATGTATATATATATATATATATATTTATATTTTTGGAAAGTAGTTGAAAGAGATAAATAACCTTAGAAATGATTTTAAAATCTTTCACACATCAGTAGCAGAATCTTACAGCCTGGCACTCGTCCGCAGATCAGTAGTTGGGAAACATTGTTTCGATTCAAGTATTCTTGAAATGTATGTTCTATAAATAGTGCTAATTTTGAGATAGTGATACATTGGATGTTTGTGTAATAATATAGATAACTTTTATACATACAAAGTTTTACATATTTGATAGCAGCATAGAGATAGCAAAACAATGTAGAGAATTTAGCATTAAAATATTTCTTGAATCTCATTTAACAAAATAACAAATATTATATTAAGAACAACTGTTGCTACTGAAACTTTTTTATTTACTTATTTTCAAATTTTATCATACATTTAAAATTGCATCAAAGTTTGGTTATTTCAATATTTTATATATCATTGTGTTTGTATCCTCTTTTATTTTGTTAAAAAAACTGTTGATATTTCTGATGTTACTAATGGTCTCTTTTTTTTTTTTTTTTTTAATTTTATTACAGGTTTAAAGAAGGTAAGCTGAATATCTTGTTCTTCAAAAATATTTGGTAATAAGAGCTGTGTGTCAGATTTACTTTAACTGTTGTGTGCATTTTTAAGTCGATGAAAGTTTTTTGCAATAAAGGTAAAATTCAGGAAGATTTGTTTTTTGTAGGATGTTAATGATTAAGTATACATTTTATTTTATTTTATTCTATTCTGCCATATATTTTAATTCGTGTACTAATTTTTTTAAATTTATTTTAGGCGGAATCCAGTTTAAATAATAAAAATGTAAGTATAAATTTTTTCTGTGGTGTAATTCTAATACTTACTGCTTTTCATAGCTTTAATAAAATATATAAGTAAATGAAAGAAATAAAAAATTAAGTTTTATTCTTAAATGTTTGGAAGCCTTTTCTGACTACAATAAAAATTTTGAGCATCTGGACATGTACCAGTTTTCCTTAGTCCTTTGTTAAGGCATTCTTCCCCTTTAGGTGGATAGCGCTTGTGTACTTTTTCATATTCAAATAATCTAACTGTACTTAAACATCGTTTTCTTTAAATCAATGTTAATCATTGATTCCTTTAAAATCAATGCTTCTGTTAATTTGCTTGCATGATTTTATTAAATAATAGAAAAAGTTAACAATAATACGTTCGTTGAAGTTATTAAAATTTATTTAAATGAATGTGTAGGACATGTTTATATGCCATCAAAAAAGTATTGTGAGCCAAAAACCATTTTATACAGATTCATGCAATTCAGTAACATGTCATCTCAAATAATCGGGCAAATGAATAAGTATCTAATCTCATAAGTGAATAAGTATCCTAAACTTATGAGTACTAAATTCAAAATTGCCTGGGAGTCAGTCTTATCTTATAAAAAGCGCTGGTTTTTGAAAGAAAATATTTGGTCACCCTATAAATAATGCAATTTTTTTTTCACTTACATAAAAAGTCAGAAGGAGAGGGTATAATACACTTATATCAACTTAATATAAAAGTAGGTAGAAATTTTACCTTTTTCTTCTTGTTAATGCAAGGTTTGATGAATGCAGTTTCATTTTAAACAGTAGTTTTTCAAACTATAATGGAAGCAACAAAGGAATGTATTTGACATAGTTTATTTTATAAATTCAATTAAATAATAATTAATAGGAATATTAATGCTGCATATAGGCATCAGATAATAATGACAGCATTCACTGATATGTTAGGTGTTTCCAGAAATTAAAAAATTAAAGAAGTATAAAGGAAACACATTATTTATGAAATGACCCAATGTATGTCATAGATTTTATTATTTCATATCGGTAAAACATAACAATTTTGTTGCATTTTATGGAAGCAAAAGTATTAAATTTTAATTCAAGTGGAAATAGATTATGTGTTAAGGCTGATTAAATTAGTTTTATTACTCACCTTGTAAATTGTGTTAAATTGAAATAAAAAATTCCATTACAATAAATATTTTATTTAGCCCACACACACACACACACACAATATGTGAGTTGGAATAATTATATTCATAGTTTATTTTGAGTTTGTTATGCATTTTGGTATTTTACAAAGACTTTTATCTCTTGTCTAGAATATTTCAAATGGGAGGCGTAAGAGTGCTCACTCTGATAGTCATGAAAGTTGGAATGGCCATGATAAATCTGCATCTTGGACAAAAAGCCAGGTAATTTTTAATTGTTATTAAAGCGTAATACTGTAAATGAATCAGCTTTTACTAAGAAGTTTCTAAAAAGCTTCAGGAACGGGGAGAAACTTGCATTCTTTTAGGTTTCTTCACCGGGAATCAAAATCTAGTACAAAACTGCTAATGTCCAGTAAATTCATCTTTGTAAAAACTTTAAAACTGTCTTCTAAAATACTGCAGGATGGCAAATTTAGAAAAAGGAATGGGAAAAGATGTAACATTTGATAATTATGTAGGAAAGATGGTTTAATATGTCACAAATAGTTTTCGTGAGGGTAAGAGCATTAAGGAGTAAGACCTGCAAATTATTTAGTGCCATTATATTCAATAGTATGGTAACCAGGAACTTAAAAAATATATATATATATATATATATATATATATATACAAAGTATGCTTACCTTTAAAAAAAAAAAAAATCATTGGCTTTTTCAAGATTTCCTCTAAAATTTATTTTAGATAATCATTTTAGGTCTTTCATGTTCTGAATTCCTTTTAATTTTGATAAAATCTGTAAATCATACAATCTCGATAAAATCTGTAAGTCACCTAATTATTTGTATGCCTTTACATGTAAGTAGCCAAAAATGTAATTAAAAAACTCAAATCTAAGGTTAAAAAAAGAATGTCCAATCTGTTAGTGATTAAAGATGTGTATCTTGTAAACTGTGGAGTATATAAGGAATATACAAAAATTTCATAAGCAAGAGGAACATGAAAATTTTAAGTTAATATTTATGTGCTAAAGTTGTAACAAAAAGTATTTTTAAATTTTATTTATTTACTTTTTCGTTTAAAGTATAGTCGTTTACTTATTTGTAGGAATTCATTTTTTACTTAAGATACTGAAGAAATTGCTCTTAATTTAAATTACCACGATGTTTAAATTCTCCTTATTTTTAGTTGTTATTGAGATATTTTAACGACTTTAAATTTCCTTATTATGCCATATTTCTCATGTTTTTTTTTTAATTGCAACTTAAATTTATACTTTTTTAATTATTTTTAAGGATGATATGAGTCATAAGCAAAGCTGGTTGCGTGGACGACTCAGCAATAAAGAAAATCTATCTGACTGCTCCTCTAATATAAACTCCAGCATTCCTTTTAATAGGAGTTCTAGGGTACGTCATAGCCTACCTGAACCATCACTATCTCAGCGCACTACAACGAAGGAACGTAGATTTCGACCATCTTGGAGAAACTGGAACAGTGTTCCTGAGGAAACAACTGATACTGAAAATGAAGAATTGGATGCTAGGAAGCTTTTGGAATACTGTCCTCCACCTCGTACTTTTCGTGATAGAACATATTCTGAAGCATCTGAGGAAGCATTTGACAACAGTGGAGAGTATGTCACTTTCTTTTATGCTCATGCATATGCTACAAGGGACATGCATAATGAAAATACTGAATTAAGGATAAATAGCAATGACCATGAAAAGACTAATTCAGATCTTGATGATAACAAACCTGTTGATCATAAACTTAGTGTATGCAAAAATTCTGAGTTACCAGCTGAAACAAAATCTGATCACCAAAAAGATCAAGATTCTGAAAGTGGCAGCTCAGTTAGCTCATGGAAACAAAATTCTGCCATCCGACGTGTTCAGTCATTTACTGGAATGGCAAAAGCAAGAGTTGCTTCTCTGCATCACAATATTTCGTTCAGGTATCATTCCTCTTCTCACAGTGAGCCAAAATCAAAATCGAAACGGTCTTCTGGTTTACCTCCTAGTGGAATGAGCATTCTCCCATCAGATGTGAAAGATATGAGCCCTACTACTCCAGCAACTTGGTTAAAGCAACAAGAGGAACATCTTGCAGATGGTGGGAAAAAGAGTGGCTCATTACCTCGAAGCTTTCAGCTTGCCCCAGAAACTGTAAGTAGCTCTTCAGAAACAAATCTTGCTGTTGTTTCTGATGGTAATACTAGCAGAATGAGAATACGTTTAGATGGACAGCGATCATTACATAGTGAACAGCGACCTTTTACCATTGCATCAGATAAACCATCACAAGCTGATTTTGGCGATGATTTAGACTATGTTGTACTTGATTACTCTCACCTTGTTGGTTCAGAATATTTTGTCCCTCGTAAGGATGGTTATGAGCAAGATACCACTACGGGATGTACTAATACTCCAGCTGTCAGTATGGAAAATGTTCATTCTATTCATCCTGAGCTAAAAATATATCACCAAGCAGCATCAAAATATGCTACTTTGAAACACATGTTCTCTCATATGGGTTCAAAAATTGCTGGTTTAAAAGCAACATTAGTTAGTCCATCAGGTCATGAACAGACTTCTTCAGAGCAACCACCAAAGGCACCAGGTGGTGAACTATCTAAGCATGGTTTTAAACGGTCCAGTAGTCATTCAAGTATTAAAAGTGATAATGAGTTAAGTCCAAGATTATTTACAGCAAAACTTGCCCATTCTGTAGCAAAAGCATATTCCTCTGTCATGAGGCATAAAAAGAAACATGAAATTAAAATTACAGAACGAATGGCTGAATTGAAGAATGAGAAAACTACCATTGGAACTTACAAATCAGAAAGCTCTTTAATTGGTGCTAGAATGGCCCAGCCATTGGAATCTGAGTATAGTGTGCCAAAATATATTCTCCCTCCTAAAACTTTTAAAGATCTTCGACCAGATAGCTTATTCTCTGAATCTTCCAATGCTACATCTTCTAGTGATGGTGACAAAAATGGTGCTGTAGATCCCTGTTATCATGGATCTCAATTTCCTAAAGCGGATGAAGGAGATGACTCAGTATCAGAAGCCAGTGATACATCTGCTGATAGTTATTATGAAAGAACATTTGATGCAATTGAAAATGCATTAGCGCAAGATATTTATCGAGACTCTGCTATTTACAGTGATCCAGAAGATGCTGATTTTAGCGCTGTGGAAAATCCCAGAGTAATGTTCAGGTCAAATGAATGTGAATTTCAAAAGCATGAAGAAAATATGTGTAACTATCAAAATGGTGATGTTGAAGCCAACTGTCCTTCATCTCCTAAAATTATGTGTGCACGGCGTGTTAATCAAGCCATACTGGAACGGTTACGGATTTTAGAGGAGAACGTAAAATTTCAAAACGAGGAAGCATCATCATTATTAAACAGCTCTAAATCTAGTACTCAGAAAAGACTTGATTTAGACAAGTGGGGTAATTTAGTATTAAACAAAGATTTTGAAGAAAGTGAAACTAGTTCTGAACATTCTGCATCAACTGTGAACACTGTAATGGAGTCTGGACACAAGCTGTCTAAACCTAATGGAAACATAAGCAATAGAAATCCACCAAGAGTTAAAGGTTGGGTAAAACATGTTGTAGAAAAACTTCAGGGAGAAGGCTGTGCTTAAAAAGTCAAATTGTATGGTCATTTACTGCCAATAATTTGTGCCTTTACATTTGCAGTCAGTGCCAAACAATGCATTTAAAATACACTAATCATAAATGTGATGATGAAAAATATCTAAAATTCCATTTATGTGAAATTTCCATCCATTTTGTAACTTAACAAAATTTTAAATCTGTTATCTATGCCTGCAAATAAAATTGATTTAAATTGAGGCTGTAGATGTGAAGAATAAATTAAATGTAGAAAATATTTATTTCTTACCTAAATTTCATAAAATGTAAAGTTTAAGTAAAATTTTGGAACAGATGAAAGAAATTAAGTTCTCTTTGTTCACTTCAAATTATTTTCATATTTGACTGATGCAAAGCATGAAAATTGGTTTTTTTTCTACCTATGTTTGTTCTGTTTTGTTAGATTTACACTTCAAACATTTGTTCGGTATTAAAAACCTTAAAAAGTTAATTTTGTAGGCATCTTGTATATCAGCGAATTCACCATTAAAGGAAGCAGTTCTTAACTAAAGCATCCTAAAAGTTTGTATCCTTGTATAACTTTTATGCAGTAAGCATTTTTTAAAAGCACTTTTAATATAATGCTTTTTACAGTATTGTGTAAATTATACTGAAGAACAAAGTAAAAATGTGTTCCAAAAAATTTGTCTCCCATCCATCATTTTATACCGAAGAATAAATGTTTGTTATTCTTAAGCAAAAACTTTTATGGTCATTACAAAATAAAACACATACAATATAGTTTGCTTTGCCTATTTGTGTTACATCATAAATTATTACCAGTTTTTAAAATTCCAAACATTAAGTATGAATAGAGCTTGAATTGGTTACTTTTTGTAATTACAACTTGGCAAATTAACCTTTTCCTAATTGGCAAATTAATATCAATATTTTTGAGGATTACATAGCTTACCTAATCTATGCTTCAATTCTGTACCCAAATTTTAAAAATTCAGGTCATCCAAAGTGTAATGTAAGATATATGAGAGCTAGCATAAATTAGATTTGTTATTACAGGCTTCTTTAAAAAATATACTTGTTATCAAACGAATATACTTGTTGATTGGAAAAGCTTATTGTTAGGAAAAATCTAGCTTCTGAACATTGGAGCTAGAAGTTGTTACTATAGTTAAGAGGTGGAATGAAACTGGGCTCTAGTTTGCCTGTTAATAATAAATTAAATGTATCCTATCATTCTTTTGTTATTTGGGGCAAAAATAACACATTGTACTTGCAGCTGTAATATTTCAAAATTAATTTATTTTCATTCATCAGTTTCAGAAAGGGCTGAAGAAAATTTTACTTAACCTGAAATTGCTTTCAGGTGTAATCATAATTTGAATTAATATCCTATTTAATAATTACAAATTGTTAAAGGAATGGTTTAAAATACTATACAGAAAATTTGAACTTTCAGCTGAAATAATGTCTGTACATTCTGTTAAATGGCTTTAAAAAGAAAACTGTGCATTACATTGTGTGAATATATATATATATAATTCATTTTATAGTAGGGGACCAACATTATTCTCTTTTGAGTAAACTTTAGTTATCAGCAGTTTAGTAACAAATTAGATTGCCTCAACAGCATGTAATATGTGTTAAATATCTAATACATTTTATCTAAATGCAAAAAACAGCAAAAAGTGAGGAAATAATTATTAGTTTTTTCGAGAGTTTAGATATAAATTAATTTCTTATATATACAAACTTGTATTTTTTATCTTTTAAAATAGTATAAAAATTAATAACCTTTCAAAAGTATATGTTTGAATAGAATTTGCATAATTGGAGAAAACCAATTTAGAAAACAAAAGTAAAAAGAAATGGGAAATTTAAAATATGAACTGAAGTGGATACATTTATTTATACAGTGTATTTATAAAAATATTTTGTAATATGAATACATTCAAAAGTCGAACAACAAAAAGTTTAAAAAAAAAAATTTTTTTTTTTGTTGTTGTTTGACTTCTGAATTAGTATTTGTTTGGCATGTATTGTGTCTTAATTATATAAATACATGCTTTTAAATTTTCGACTAGTCTTTTACAAATACGCAATAGTCAGTTCTAAAATCATATCTTTTCCAAGTTTTTTTTTATAAATTTTCACTATTTCACACGTTCTTCGTTTTTGTAATTTGAAATGAGATTGTGAAATATTTAAGACTGTATCATATTTACACTCGTAAGAAATGTACATTGTAGTTTTAGCTGCTGTGGTATTTTATATTCTAAAATGTTTCTAGTCATAGCTTTTGTATAATATTTATATTTCTCATTTTTATGGTAAACAGATAAATGATATTGTAATTCTACTCTTATAAATATTTACGAGTTACGGTATTATCAGTTCTTTGCTCTCTTCTAAAATATATATGGTTGTCTACGGATGCATTTGAAATATTAGCCAAATGAGATTTTTAGAATTGAAATATTTATTATTTATATAGTCGAGCAGCTTTCTTTTTTACTTGTATATATTTGAAGAATTTAATATATATTTTGAGAGAGTAGTATCTTTTTTATATGGTATTTGATATTTTAATTATTAACCCTCTGAGTGCCATGACTGGCTTTATCTGGCCATCAGATTTTTTTGTCACTTGGCATATATTAGCTTATAATTTAAGATATTGTTCTATCTTACTTTTTATTAATGTAAATATCATCTTCATGAATAAGTTTATGAAAATAGAGTCTAAAATAAGTAATTGTAGAAATTTCACTAATAAATGCTTTTTAAATACAGGTCTTCATGATCCCACTCTGCTCAGAGGGTTAATAGCAGGAAAGCCAACTTATTAAATTTTTATACACCCATTACTTTTTAAAACCTCCATTACCTTGCAGCTCTGTATCTATTATGAATTTAGACTACATAGTATCAATAGTAATGTTTTTATGTTGCTGTTAGTGCTGTAACACTTTTGTGTAACTTTTTTTAATGCCGCTGTATGTACTGCAGAATTTTTTTCACTCATTGTTGTTGCTGTATGTACTGCAGATTTTTTTTCACTTGTTTTTGTTTTATCTATGCAAGCAAATTATTTCTTATTTTAGAATTATAATTTGTATAACATAAATAGTCTGTTATTAATTGTTCACGTAATATAGCCATTTAAGATCTGCATTATTGGCTGGACATGTCCCATCGAGAAAGATTTTATACTGTATAAATATTTTTTTTAAAATAAGGTAGTGTGAAATACTTAAAAAAAATAATAATATAAAGAGATTAATTAAGTATGGTTGTTATATAAAGTAGTGCCTTTTTATACTAAAATAAAAATTGTTCATATCAGAATTACTTAATATTCCTCTTATATTTTACTCATTCCTGTAGATGGTATCATGAATTTCATCAGTATGATGAGCCATGATACTTCCTGTAATGTTTCCTAAATGTTTATTACATATTTGATTTCATATCATGCCATTTCAGAAAACATATTGATAGCTAGTGTATAAAATTCTGTGATTTCAACTTAGCAGCTAAGGCCAATACATTTCTATAACAAAAAGAGTTCATGTAAATTGCATGTTAGAATATTTAGATTTAAAACTAAAAAGTTTACTTTGAAACATATCAGCTGTTTTGATTAAAGAGCTCTGTTAACAGGAAGGGCAAATTTTTCTAAAAGCAGATTTTATTTTTAGCATTTTACAAGTTCCTATTTGCTTCCCTCCAAAAAGCCAGCTGTAGCTGTTTTAAAATTTTGAATATTTACATAAATTTTCGTGCAGCTATTAACTTAAAAGTGTCAATACAATTTTTAGGTGTTTACTGGCAGTGCATACTCATGCCGAAACCATCCGTATGACAATCTCATAAATGTAAATATGTATTTTCTTATAATTGTTTTGTGGTTTCTCATATTTATGCTTGTATATGAGTGTAACTAGATGGCGTGAAATGTAAAATTAAGTTGCCGAGTGATTGTTGTACATGAAGGTTAATAAAATGATTGCTTAGAATTATGTGTATCAATGTATTAAGTTGTGTCTGTCTGTATTTTAGTTATTGGATTTGAATTTGATACAAAACTATAGAAAAGGTAAAAAGAAATTAAAATAGAAAAGCCTTGGAACATAAATTTTGACATCATTATTGTTTACTTTGTATTTGAACGTCTTCCCTTAATTTTTATACCAAACTCTGCGAGTTTTGAATTCTGCTCCTTAGTTTCATCCTCCATTTAAATGTTTTGCCGCCTGTTGCCCGACATCAGTTACACTAGCTCTGGCTCTGATTCTAGCCCTGCATATAACAATTCGTTAGGCCTCATCATGCTTGCAAATTTTAAAACAGCCTATTTGGTTACCCATTATACAGTACCAAATAGCCTTATTTAGTTGTTATAATGACTCGCATGTCAAATACATAGGGACTTTCCCTATTGTTTGATCAACTTGCCACTAGAAACAGCTTTTGGGATCAGGAAGTAAATCATTTAACATGCAGTGGCTCACGTTTGTTATCGGACATTTGTGTTTTCGGAAACATATTTGCTCAAATCTTGTACTAATTTTTTTTTTAAATTTAATTTTAATGCAGCCGGCAATACAGAGACAAATATCCTTATGCCATATAGAGATCCAAAAACTATAAAAAAATGCAGTAAAATACACGATACAATAATTTACACAGAGAAGTCTGAAGTACAAAGAAATACAAAAAAAGAAAAATGTAATCTATAAAAGTTATATATAAAGTTGAAAACAAGATCAAATCTTCAATGGATTTAAAAGGTCTCTAACCTCCCACAGAGTTTGTACGGTCCTTAAAAGTCCTTAGATTTTTTTAGAATCAATTTTTGGTCCTTAAAAGTCCTTAATTTTGGCCAAAATTGGCAGAAGTTCCTTAATTTTAATCATCTGAAATTTCTTGTCTTTTTTTTATGACTGCCATTTTGAGTGCAAATTAGCATTTTGGAGGAATATTTGTGGCGACTCACTGACGTATATGGTTACCTTTTCAGTGGGTTCATGGGTTATAATTTGTTTCTATATAACTTTAAAATACAACATTTTTATTTTTCGCTTTCATAAAGTTTCATTTTGGCAACTTATTATACATTATTTTGAATTTGAAAAATAAACAATGCATAATGCTATAAAGCACAATTTTCAAAACAGTTCTTAGCAGAAACAAAATTAGCTGTGGAATTAATTAAAAATGTCTTCTTTTTAGTTTTCTCATAGTAAGAGTTTTTCTCATGTAGTTGTCTCAGAATATTCAGAATTCTCGCAATATTTATCAGTTTTCGCTATAAAATTAATTTTACACCTTTTCCTATTTTTTTTTTTTTTTTTTTTCCCTAAAATATTTGACTTTTTGCCATTACAGAATTGGTAGAGAAAATTTTTCTTTAGGATTTTAGACATTACAGCTTAGAATGTTTAAAAGGATTTGAAGGCAAAATTTATAGACCCACGATTCTAGAAGATTCCAGAAATATGTGACAAAATGAAAAATATCTCCATGGTATTAACATGTAATGGATGTATTTTACAGAAAGTTTGTGATGAATTTCTTACTTTTTGGAGAATGACTGGAAGAACAATGAAAACATAATATTTGAATGTTTTACTCCTGATACTAAAATGTTTTTCTTAACATGTTTATCTTACCTTTATTTTCTCTACTTTTCACTAGACACAAGCATGGAAAATATCAAAAATGCTTCTAATCTTATCACATGGAAAGGCATTATAGAAATGGATTTTTTTATTAATAAAGAAATTGAAAACTTACAATTTCAAAGATTCATCTAATATTCTTAATGCACTATACACATAGCTTGCACTAGGCATTTTCCCACCTGATGCAATCTTTGTGGATCCTAAATTCTGTTGCCTAGTGCCTTTCTAAATGCTTCCAATGCCAGCTCTTCTAAAAGTTTTGCCATTTCTAGATTTTGTTTTTCAGTGTGTCATTCAATTCTAAAAATTCTGTCACATCAGCTCTGTAACTGGCCTTTACCATACATATTTCATATTTCTTCTGAATATTCATAAAGAAATAAAATTAGCCGCTTTTTCTGTACATTTTAAATGCATTTAGTGTTTTTTAGAATAACAGAAATCCTTAATTAAATCCAAACATTATAAAATGAAAAGGAAACCTGTTGATGAAACTGAAAACATAGATTTCAAATTTTTTACTAGTATATTTGTTTCTCTATTTTAAGCCTTGCTTGTTGAAAGATAAATTTCATCAAAATATTCTTCGTAATTAATTTAAATAATTTATTCAAAATGTGCTAATCAATAATTCGCGTAATAATGCGGGCACTCAAGTTTTGTTAAAATGTTTGTGCAGAACATGTTTCTTACCATTTTTTTAAAGAAAAATACTGCTGTATTGTGCAAAAAATACTTCAGTTTTACTAAAACTGGCCCACCAGCGGCCGAGCGGTAAAGTCGCTGAACACTGGTAGTTCGGTCCGAGGTTTGAATCCCGCGAACGGGCTGGCTGCATGGGTGTTTTCGTGGTTTTCCCCATGTGTAACGTGTATACGAGCCAGTTTCCCTTAGAAAGTTCTCCACGAAAGGCACCCCTCCTCTTAGGCAGATAGCCCTAGTGCGCTTTGCCATAATTAAATACACCACACCACACCACACCTTTACTAAAACTGTTTACGTGTGTACGTGAATTCGTAATATAATATAGTCCCCTTCCTAAGGATTGCATATACCGGGCAGGACAATCCATCGACAGGAAAACATATTTACAAGTAAGAAACATCAGTGCAATACTAAAACAACAATTTCAATAAATACCATATCATCTCGCCGCTTCTCGGAGAGCAGAGGCTGCGGATATTCTTCAAACTCTTCCAGAAAACCAAAGACTAAACTTCTAAGCTCTATCCGGCGCTTTGGAGCTGCACGTTGTCCATAAGGGTTTAAAAGATTACAGAAGACTTCAATTAAAATCCCGTCAACAGAAGCTCACAGAAACACTCAGGGAACTTGCCACGAATGTTCAAAGGCTGTATCATCTCGCCTTTTCGGTCCTGTCCTCGCAGTACTTCATCGACGGCATCCGAAATACAGAATGTTTTCCGAATGGCGGATGTCAAGGACTTAAAAAGTGATTTAGTGTACGCCATGAAATTCGAGGCAGCCCAGCAAGCAACTCGTAAAGACCGCCACCCAAACAGAACTGCTCGACGAGCCAGTGGATCAAGAGATGCCTCGTTTAGATGATTTATCCAGAGAAGTCAATGCTTTGATACAGAATAAGAGTGACAAGAAACGAAATTGCTGGAACTGCGGTGTTAAAGGCCATATACGGAGGAACTGCAGAACATCCCAGGGTACAGAAAACAAGACAGTTTCGCAGCAATGTCGCAAAAAAACTAATTAGTAGCCATCTCGAGAAGCGGAGTTTGAAAGATAATGAGAAGTCCCGTTTTAAAGTGCTTTAGATATCTGCAGGAGTGGGGGCAATAACGGACTTTTCAGCAAGGCACATATCAGTGGAGTCCCTTGCAATATGGTGATCGATACACAAGCGAATGTTACCATTATTCCGAAAGATTTAGCTTAACAGTTTGAAGATGAATTCATTGTGACGCCATCCTGTGCTATCCTGCAGACTGCGTCTGGTGATGAAGTCGACATAGATGGTAAGTTAAACTTAAACATCACGTTTGGAATTGCCGCCTACTATCATACGGCATATGTGACAGATGTTACGGATCCTTGTATAGTTAGATTGAACCTTATATGGAAGTACAACTTTTCCTTGGACTTTAAAAACAACGAAATGCATTCAGCCTCTGAGGACATAATTATTCATCATCAGAAGGAATCTCCACTAGAAACGCCGACGCCTTGTCTGGAAGACCCTTGCTAAGAAAGCTCCCGATATCGTAGCAGGGTCGAAGAGGAAACCGAGGTGATGAATACGGTAGCACGACAAGTTGCTATTTCAACATCGACTGACCGAGAACTATGGAGTGACGAAGAAGTCAAGTTTGATTTGTTTTATGTTACTTATTTCAATTATTGTTTGTGTAGTTGGTTATTGTATTGTAATGTTTATTATTGCATTGATGCTTTAGTTGTAAGAGTATCAGAGGCTTTCGGTTCAGGGATAGTACTGCCCGGGAAGCGCAGTCCTTTTGAAGGAGGTAGTGTTACGAATTTTGTGTTTAAATAGCTAATTTTAATAGAATTATAATTAAAATTGTTATATTTCCTCCTACAACGCAGCACGAGACAAATTTTTAGAGAAAGCTGCGTTGAAAAGTAAAAATACAAGATCACGCGCATTTAACATTGAGTAAATAGATATCTCGGTAATTTGTATTTAAATTGAATAAACGTAATTGACTACTGTGTTAATTGTAACCGTAATCTCATCTTTTTATTGCTTTCCAGAATCCTGAAAAGCAGAAATTTCTAAAAATATCTCGCGCGACCGGTTGAAAGTCAAGCTAGAGAGAGAGAGCATCTCAGTTGAGTAGCAGTTAGAAAAGATCTGACAGTAAGATGCATATTTTAAGTGTTCTGATTTCTTGCTTTAAATATGCGTATGGAATTGTTGTATATTATAGAAAGTTATATAATTTTCAAGCCCTTCTGGAAAGCAACATAGTGATGTTAATTTGACATCACTATATCAACATAGTGATGTTAATTGGATGTACTACAAAGAGTGACACTGAACTTGTATTTTAACCTGTTTCTGCTGTTAAGGTACTTATAGTAGGTTGATGCCTCCAGGAGTTGAAGCAACGTTGTTCTCGATTAACTAACTCCATGCTCCGCACAATGGGGTACACTGGAGCACACCACCCCGAAATCTGAAAGCATGGTACAAAACTGTTACTGAAATGTTTATCCTATATGGAATTGCAGTATGGGGCAAAAAGGTGATTACAAGGATGAGAAAGGCAATTGATCTGCAATGGATACAGAACTACGCCAACCACGGTACTCCAGGTTCTAGCAGGATTCCTGCC